TGAATATGAAAAACAAGCTGCTGAACTCCACTGCTTAAATACATTCATCAGAGTTTCATTTCATCCTGCCGCAGCTTTATTTCAGTTGTCTCATTCTGCAGATAGCTGGTGATTTCTCTGCAGACTGGAGCTGCACCAGATAATACTAATGGCAGCATTATCATTTCCAAAACCAGTCTAAACATAGATGAGGCAGGGAACTCCAAAACATCTGTGCAGGTGTGTTAATGTTAGTCCAGTAAATCAGACATAATGAGCGTCAGAGTTATCGTCTCTCTGTCTGGGTTCAGGCTCACGTCTGGAGAGAAGGTTTCACTTCTCAGGTGAGAAACTGGACCGAGAGAATCAGCTGTCAAGATTTCATCTGTTAGAATCGGGGCACCTTTCATTTTGTGACTTTTGACAGATTGCAAATATAAACATGTATTAATTATGATGTCAGTGTATTTTGATTCAAAGATGTGTGTTTTCTATGAAACAACTTACCATTGTAACTGCTTGAGGCAGCAACTTTATTGTGAAACTCTATGAATGTGAATATGACTGTAGAGTAAATTGGTTAAACTGTTTTTTGGTAGTTTACTCTTCATTATTTCTGTAAAAAGTTAGGATTGCACCCGTTTGTTTGTTTGTTTGCTTGTAAGCAAGTTTTCACAAAAACTACAGGACAGAATGATGCATTATGGGTGAGGGAAGAACTCATTAAATTTCAGTATGGAACTTATTTAAGGGGCGGACCCAGGATTTTTTTCCTTGAACATTTTTTTAATGTTTTTTTTTACATTTTCATTGATTTCTCATGAAATTTTCAAGAATCTTAATGTAAAAATCTGACTGATATCTGTGAGTGTGTGAAATTTGGTGCAACTTGATTTCAAGGGAGACTGTTGGGTTTCAGTGGAGGTTCAGTCTCAAAAGCAAATGCTCATTTAAATCCACTGCACACCATGAATTACATTATATCCCTGTTTTGATTATTAATTTAAACTGAAAAACATTAGAATGACAGCATTACCTGCTAAATTCAGGATTTTAAGGATATGAATGTGTCTACAAATCCACCTTCAAGTACTTCCAGGTATCTATAAATTTGGGTAAGTGTGTTTGCACACTGCCGTGCCCCTGAAGCCTGGCTGACTGGTCCCAGTAAGAATGGGGCTGATATAAACAGGCTTGGCTGTTCCCACGTCTCTGTTTACACTGGGAGACCCCGGAGCAGCACTACCAGAGCACTGGATTCCCTCTGCACGGCAAACTCACACACTATCCATCTCCGTCTCGTACAGAAACACTTACTCATAACTACACGCAGTCAGCATCATGGACTTGCAGATGCACATCTTTGCAACAATGCAGCCACACACCAAAAACTGTTTGATCCCAGAGGGGGCTACTGCACACACGGCTGCAGGGTGCAATCCAACGTTTTTGCTGCTCAGTACTTCCTCTATCTTTTCTTCTTCATCTCACTTTTATCTATTAGTGTCTTTCTCTCCTCAGCTTTTACTTTTGTCATTTCCAACCTGGTCACTGCATTACACCTGACCTCATCCCTGCTGAAGAGTTCCCACAAAGCTCCTCAAACCAGCGCTGACCTCAGTTTTTACAACACTGCCGCAAAGACTCTCAAAAGCTTAAACTCTGCTCTCTTCGTCCTTTTGAAATGAGCCTGTGATGGACGCCCAACATAAACAGAACGCTGGGGTCCTGACAAATATGCCCAGTTTACAGGCAACAGTGAGGTCACCTCAGCACATCTCAGCAAAAAGATGCATCTGCTGTGAGGGAAGTTTCCAGATTTTAAAAGAGATGGTCAGTGGTTTTGAAAAACAACGAAGGGCAGACTTTTTTGGAAGGATGTGTGAGAGAGTTAGTCAGAGATTTTGGAGAAAGTTATGTCATCTGGTCAATTTTCTGTCAAAAAAATATTAAACTGACCAGATCATCTAAATCATGTTGCCTCAGAATATATAGATATGCGGCTCTAATTTTCCCTTAGTAAATATTATTGTTCCACCCAATAACAAACCGTTCTATCGATTATTTCTGTGTCAGGTTTGATAAGTATGAATATAAAACATAGAATATGAAAGTTAACCATCAGCCAATCAATCACAAAATCAAAACCATCTTCACACAAAAGAATCGGACAAACACAAATATTAAAAAGACTTTCCCCCAGTCACTCTCTCTTTGACGCACACACACAATGGTTACAGTGATGGAGCGTCTATTTATTCTCAGTGATATCTGAATCTATTATGCCACAAGTGCTCACATCTGTGTGTTTACATGCTGCAATCTTATGACCTAATGAAATTAAGAGCATTGTTCCCCTGGGAAGAAACTTCCCCCAGTGATGTGGAGCCCAACAAACTGTAAACACACTCCTGTGCCGTGCGTCAGTGTCCTCACAACACACACACACATACACACACACACACACACGCCAACAATGCTTTGCGGCCTGACTCTTCTAACCTGCTCCAAATCTAAACCTTTATAGTAAACAACTTGGGACATCTGAACAAGGCTCTTGTGGAGGATGGATGTGAATTACAAGGCTATATTTCCCCCAGGAGGATTAAATGAGAGGAGGAAAGAGACAATTTGGTAACCAGGGAGGAAGAACAATAACAACAGGGCTGAATCATAAAGAAGCTATTTTTCTGTTTTGTTTGGCCGCGGGCCAGGAGGGAGAAGTGTATGCAGCGGCTTCGACAGAAGAGCTGGTTTATAATGCGCAAATATATATAAGCAAGAAATAAGTCACTGATGTTACATGCACAGAGACTTGTGTGTGTGTGTGTGTGTGTGCGTGTGCGTGCATAGACTCAAACACATCCAAAGCTGTGTTTAGTTTACACAACTTTATCTCATAAAGATTATATGTCATTCTTATCAGTGTCATGCAGCGTTTTCCAAATCCACATAAGGCAGAACAAATCAGATCAACTTAAAAACATGACAAATTCTCATAAAGTTGTGATCACTCCATCTAAAGGTCACAATCATCACAGGTCGTGACAGCGACACCTCAGGGCAGCGCTCATTCACTAAATTCATTCATGAGCCACAGTAACGGCTGCAAATTCTCTCATTGATAACACAAACATTCCCCGGCCGCCTCCAAACTTTACTCCTCTCTCCTCTTTGTAAGCCCGTCCAGAATTCCCTGTGGAGCGCTTACTGACCAGATGTGCTCGTTTTACTTGGAGATGTTACTAATCCAGATAGCGTAGATGTCAATACACCGTAAACATTGAAAGAAGTCACACATTGTTGTCTAGAAATGGTGTTAATATAAGCCTGTTAAGTGTAATATTGGCAGGCAGAGACGACGGCAAAGACAAATTTGTGGACACAGATTTTGGTTAAAGTCAACGAACACTTTAACCCTTACGAGGTCTATGATTTTTAACGACTCACAGTTTATTGTTAACATTGAGATAAAAGCCCTTTTAAATAATGTTGAAACTATGGAATTTATTTTCCCACCTTGACATCCCCCATTATTTACATTGCAGCAAGATACCAACCCTACTTGTTGCTGTGCAAGGCCTTCTGGGTAAGCAGCTTTATCATATATCAGTCATGTTCTGGATCCCTTTGTATATAAAAGTTGGATTTTGTCAAGTGAAGAGTTCATGCTTTTTTTCCCATTTAATTGTATTTTTTTTCAACTAATAGAAAATGTTTACTTAAATGACACAAGTATCCAAACAGAGTTAGTGACATCTAGTGGTGAAGTTGCATGTTGCAGCTCAATACCCCTCACCTCACCCCTCTCTTCCAAATATGAAAAAGAACCTGTGGTCGCCTTCAGTTGTCATAAAAACTCAAAAGGTGTTTAGTTTGTCCAGTCTGGCAGCGAGAGGACCCGCTCCCAATGTAAATAGAAAGTATTTAAATATAAAGGGCCCATTCTAGGGTAAAGAAAACAACAATTCAAAATGTTTTGATGATTACACAGTGGTGAGAACATCACTACAAGTACTTTAGATTCAATTTCTTCCAATAGATCCCTTTCACCAGAATCTTACACACTGAACCTTTAATAATTTTATACATTTAATGCAATTAATTGAATGTCATCTTGAGAGAAGTGAAACTTTACCTCCTCAATTCAATTTAAGTCCTGCATTCATAACATTTGCCTAAAATACATTTATAAATACTTCTAAAGTCACTTTAGACTTTTATTTAAAGGCAAAATTTTGTGACATCTAGTGTTGAAGTGGCATGTTGCAGCTGAATACCCCTCATCTCACCCTCCCCTTCCAAACATGAAAAATAACCTGTGGTAGCTTCAGTGTTCATAAAAACTCAAAAGGTGTTTAGTTTGTCCAGTCTGGATTAATGTAAAAAACACGGCGGCCTCCGTAGAGAGGTAAATATTAAGTATTTAAATATAAAGGGCCTTTTCTCAGGTAAACAAAACTACAATTCATACAATTTAGATGAAAAGAACTCATGAAAACTTCATGAGGATTATTCTACATTAAATTTCTACTAATAGTTCCCTTTCACCTAAATCGTACACACTGGACCTTTAAGACCTCTTCTACTAAATGTAGATATTGATGAAGCCCCATGTATGTGGGTTTTGGCCTACCCAAGATATATTTTTAAAAAGTTGCAAACTTTACAAGCATGACTGTAAAATGTGCAGTCTCTTAGCAGCAACAGATTCCTTGCAGGTCTGTTGAAACATTGACTTTAAAACAAGATATGGATGAAATCATTGGACATATGTATCTTCAGTTTTTTCTACAAACCTCTGATGTATTCTCAATACATCTTCAATCCTGTATCTTTCGGCTGATGTGTTTATACTTTTGTGTATCATTTTGAAAGTTGTGCCCGGAAGTTGTTGTCCTTCGGAAGTTCACGAGGTCAGCTGGTTTTATTGTGAAATCTGAAAGCGGAAGTCGGTAACCGTCTGGTGCGTGTGAGGAGGAAGAGGCTTGTCCACAAAGATTCACCGTTAACTGGTGAGTTTGTGTTTTGGTTTCACCTCAATGAGCCGAGGAGGGAGCGAGACATTTAAACATCACGCTTCACACGCACACGTCCAGGCAACACGCACAGCCCGCGGGTAACAGCGGAACTAGCCCGTCCTCGGTGTGACGGTTGACTGCTAGCCTGCTAAGCTAGCGAAGCTAACAACTTTTCGTTCATTATTGCTGGGGCACTTTTCTTTGTTGCTAGCTAACGGGTAGCCTGTCTTCACTACATCATCGCTGTTGTGTCCGTTGTTTATTGGTCGTCGTCACTGAACCGGACACCGGCGCAGACAGGTAGTTAATTCAGTTATGCTAAATGAGTTTGTTATGAATGACTCGCAGACGCCTGGAGACATTAGCTAGCATCATTTCCCCAAACATGTACATCAGTTGCGTTGCTAAGCAGCTAAACACAGCACCGGGAGTGGCTAACGTATCAGGCTAGCGTCCGTTAACGTTGGTACATGGACAACATTGCAAAGAATTGCATTAGGAAGGACCTTTTAAAGGTGATTCTGTGAAATGTCTGAACTAATAGCTCCCACATATTTTGCAGATGCACGTGTGATTCGTGTTTTGACCGCCACTCCCGAAATCTGACGTAGAGGAGACCACAGAGTTGGAGAACCAGATCAACTGGTGCTGCCAGACCCTCCCCAGCATTTGTATATTTTGATACAGGTTTACTGTAAGTACAGCTGCACTCACACAGGGACTGTCTCTATGTGCTGGTTCATTACACTGCATGTGCATTTCTCAATGAAAAGACAATTGAAATGATTTGTGTGGTAAATATATTATTAAAATAGATACTGAGAGGGCCATGACACCAGAGGGGCTGCTGGACTGGTCCCCCAGGTTTTCTCTTATCACACTCATCTGAACACCCTTCCACTGGCTTTCCATCAAATTCACATTTCAGCTCAAGATACATGTTTTCACACACAGAGCATTGCATGGTCAGGCCCCTGCTTCATCCATACCATGCAAGTAGGTCACTCAGGTCCATTGACCCGGGCTCACTGGTTGTCCTACATACCCAATTGAAAAAATAATCCTCTCACAGTTTCTGTTGCATGTTGTTCACTGACTTTTATTGCATGTGTTTATTGTGCGTCACTAAATTCTGGTGTCATTTTATTTATGTGCTGCACTTTGTGACTTTGGTCTGAGTAAACTATACATATTACTCACTATATCACTTTTGTATATACAGTGTGTGTTTAAAAATACTGACTGAAAAATTAAAAAATAAAGTTTGTCTCAAGCTGTAAAGTTAATTATTTCAAATCCTTCAAATACTAAAAAGCATGGGCCCTTTCCTTTTTACAGCCAGTCTTGTCTCCCTGTCCGACCGTCCATGACATGGTGGTTACGGTGGTGTTGATGATGGACGTGTGAGGAGAAAGCCCCTGTGGTATCTTGGCTGCACCACACACTTCCTCATGGATTCCGGCAGTGATGATGCACTTGATATCATTATCACCAATGTGGTGGCGACCTTTAGGACCAGGTGTCACCTCAACTTACGCACCATTGCCTTAAAGGGAGTCAACGTCATCTATAAGCCAGAAGCTGGGGTAAGGCAGCTAAATGCTGCAATGAAAAGATTTTTCCTGTCACATATTTAAATGTTTACAACGCACTGTATTATCAAATCTTTGTGCTGATGTTATGATTTGATAATGGACCATGTCTTTCTGTTTTTAGAAAGTCCTGATGAAGCTTCGTAAGCCCAAGATAACGGCCTCTATTTGGTCCTCAGGGAAAATCATCTGCACTGGAGCAACAAGGTAAAAACCTTCCACACAAAAGGCACTGGTTAGATCTAGCGATTACACCTATGCTGTAACTCAGCCAGCACATATTAGCACATTGAAGACTTTCATTGCCAGTGCGCTGAACCTACAATTATTCTCAATGTTGCTGTTAACTGTTTGTGTGTTTCGTTTCTTGTTTAAATATATACATTATGTATAAATTCTAAATGTTGGTTCTCCCTCCTGCTCTCTTTCAGTGAGGATGATGCGAAGCGTGGTGCTCGCAGGTTAGCACGCTGTCTGCAGAAACTAGGCTTCAAGGTGAGAATGATAACATCGCTGTTAGTTAACAGCATTAAAATAGTTATAACGTTTTTATATGTGCAGATTAGAAGCATAAATACGATGCTAACTAGATAATTATTTTAAATTTTAAAAGCAGATATAGATTTTAAATAACTGTTGAGGTATTGCATTACAGTTAAATTGAGTTAAATTGGAAAAAAATCTGAAATCATATTGTAATAATTCTTAATTGTTTATTACAATTCACAAAAAATGTTTCCCCAAATACCACAATATGTTCTTAATGGTGATTCTTAATGATTTCTAAATATTTATTTAAATCATAGGCCCTGTGATCAAGAATATGTCTCATTGTCATATTTACCTACATTCTGTTTTTCCAGATCATCAGTTTGTAAAAGGGAACCACAGATATAATACCATTTTTTCTGAAGAACAAAATCCTCTTTGTGCTTCATTGGACTCTGTAGAGTCTATGTTTTGTTTGACTTCTCATTTGCTTAAATCATCTCATGACTCGCTGCTTAGAAAACAACAGCTTGTGACCAAGGCAACCTGCAGATTGCTCTATAATGAAAATGGATATTCAGTAAATCACTTGTTTCCAACTACAGGTACAAATGAGGCTGAACTTTAGGAATTCTAGCATCATTTAATCTTGAAGAATAAGAGAAAAGAGCCCTCTTTTAATTTTTGGTGCTAAAAAGTGTGCATCCATATTAAGTGTGACATTGCGTGTGTTGTGTGTTCAGGTGAGGTTTTCAGCCTTCAAAGTCGTGAATGTGCTGGCAGTTTGCTCCATGCCCTTTGCAGTCCACCTCATAGACTTTACAAAGAACAACCGCCCCATTGCCAGGTAATACAGTCCTGTACATCACCACCACCCTTGTGTGATAGAAATTCAAATAATCACTGTTATCATCATATTTTTATTCTTATTATCCTGATGTATTAGTGTTGAGAAATCTTAAGAGTTAATTTAATACACTGTGATTTTGCTGTGTCCTGGACTATACCCCTCAGATATCAGTCCAGAATCTCCTGTGCTTCATGATGTTTACTTAAGTTCAAGTTAGAGTCATGAATTAAGATTCAATAAAGCCAAAGAACAATCACTGACGTAGTTAACTTTCATTGTCAGTCATTTCAGACACCCTCAGTTCATGTCTTAGAAATCTTTAGACTTTATTAGTACTTCCTGTTTGTATAGGCTGACCTCTAGTGGTGAAAGCTGCCAAACAGCTGACTACTAGTTTAAGTCCAGTTATCTTTATTTACTCTCTGCTTTTCACAGCAGAGCCGTGTTCACGGTGCATTGAAAACTCACTGTAGAACAGGTAGCTATGTTGAAGGAACAGGTCTCTGTCATGTGAGGAAAATGCCGCTATACATCAGCCTTGCACTGTGACTTTACTGTATAAAATCTCTTTTCAGCAAACTAATGTCCGATACATCAAATCATATTTTAGAAATAAGAGATGGTGTATAAAAACCTCCTACTGTACCATATTTTATCAAAATTACATGATTTTCTACATCATGCATGATTTTTCCGACTGCAGGTTGTTGTGGAAAGCCTGATTGACAACCTGATGTACTTGTTTATATGACAACAGATGGAATACTGACATGTTGTAAACAGCCTCAAGTCGGTTGTGTATTCATTTTTGTGTGTTTGTTTTAGTTACGAACCTGAGCTCCATCCGGCTGCCACATACAGGATCAAAAATATCAAGGCTACTGTTCAAGTGTTCTCCACTGGCAGCATCACAGTTACAGGTATGAATTTCTCTCACCGCACTTAATATACCACTGGAGGGCACACTATCTTAAATGATTGAGGTCAGGCAATTGTAACTTTTATAGTCCGCTACACCTGAACAGCACTTAGTGAATAACCTAATCCTTGTGGAATTTTGCCCGAGAGTGAAATAGTGTCTGCCCTGTTTATACAGCATTTATTAGTCATAACTTACCACACAAGGAAGTTCTGTTGTTGATGTTTTCTTCCTCTACTGTGATTATATCTGTGGTTCTTTGTTTCTTTAAGTGACTTTTCTGCTTTCTAATTGTGCTCAAAACTTGTTCTTATGCACGCCCTACCCCATCCCCCGACCAACTGAAGGACCAAATGTTCAGAATGTGGCCACGGCTGTGGAGCAAATCTACCCGCTACTGTTTGAGTGTAGGAAACCCCTCCGCAAATAAAGGAAATGCATGCCGAAGAAGACAGAAGACGAAGTGAAAGAGAAGACAAGACTGAGGAAGCACCTTATCTGTGGACTTCATTTGCTTGATTTTATCACTACATGGCAACAGCCCATCCACAGATGTCTTAAACATAATCGACGGGTCATATTTAAACACCTGGAACCTCAGCAGCCCCACTTGAAATCTTAAAATCTTACAAAAATGTCAGTGTTGTTGTGGATTCTGTGGCTTTTGTGATGTTAACAGTCGACACGTGCAAATGTCTTCCAATCCAGAGACTGCTCGTCTGAACCTGACTCACACTGGAGGGTGGTGGAAGTATTTTGCTCTCGCTCTTTACTTGCTCTAGGTGCTTTTGCATGGACACAGAAAGACCAACTTTCAACAGTTTAACTATTTGAATGCTTAGATCTCAACTTTTACCCTTTACACCGCAAAACGTCCAATTTACTGCTTTTTTAGGAAGAATCTCCGTCCGCAATTTATTTGAAGATGTGTTCCCACCAATACAGGCCATCACTGTATTATGCACATTTATGCATGAAGAGAAAACAGCAGTTAAAACCACGGACTGAGTCTGGGATGTCCTTTTAAAAGCTGCATATTTCCGCTCATGATGTGCTGTCACTCTGATTTTAATTGTTGCACACTTCCTGATTTTCATCGGTCGTCAGTTCCCTAGTAATGCGTTCATGTTTCACAACTGTGGCGTTGGATCAGATTGCACTCATCTCCTGTCGATATTTTAATTTCTCGTCATTTCCTGATCATTTTTAATATTTAACCGTTCTTTTAAGGTGAAGTTGGACAATGTACAAAATACGATTGATGTCCTAAGTGTTGGAAGTTGTGAACTGTTTTTAAAAGGTTTAGAATATTTTATTATTGAGCTGTAGACCTGCTCTTGCTCAACACAACTTGGGAGTGGTCACTAAGGTAAAAAGTGGCACTGAGAAAAAACACTTCTTCAGCTTTGTAACAGGTGGAGGTGGTCCAGAATTGTTCAGGACAAAGGTCAAAGTGGAAACTCGTTGTGAAAAAAGGATTTTAATGTGATGGCGTCGGCTCTGGTCTGTCATACAAAGCTGTACAGCAGTTTGAAATGTCATCTGTCTGACCGGTGGTTTATAAACTGCAACATACTGTATGATTGCTAACAGTGTTTTAAAGAGGATGTGTTGATATCACACTGATGCCAAACCTTCCATAGTATATCCTTCTTTTAAATGACAGTGAAAATAAATACTTCTCAGTGGAAACTAGTCTTTGTTGTATCATAGCTGCTGACGTCCATCGAGGTAACACGCGTGTACATATAATTAATGCAAGTGATGAGAGAGATGTTGTAAAATATCTTTGACATGTTGTTTGAAATATGTGGGATGGTGTCTTTTTGAACCAGGGTCAACTGAGGATTTGTGACACTTGTTCAGAGTTTTGTATTTTGTATAAATTAATAAAGGTTAATAAAAAAACAAGCCAAACTCTCTCCTACTTACTTTAATATTTCTTTTTCCATTTGTCTTTATTACAGATTGTATTCACCAGTTTCAGCTGAATAGTCTTTAAATGGTTTACCAAGATTTTTCAATGTGACTGACTTAAATACATCTCTACATTCAAAAGTACAGATTCAGATGTGCATTATTGTTTTCTCACTGCAAGACATTCAACTTAATTAATAATCAACTATGTTTCATTTGGCATCGCTGACAAAGTAAAAAAAACAAAAAAACACTCACACCGCAACAGAACTTGTTAATAAATTATTTACCCTGATGGATTCAGTATGTTTTCCTTGATTTCTAGTTTGTGAGGATTCAGCAGTAAAACAGTGGAGCCTGTTGTGCTCATTCATTATCTATAGCTTGTTCCCATTGAATGTAAATGAAACACACAGCTCTTCCTGAGACTTCTCACTCACTCACAGACACACAAACACACATCTGTGTCATTTCAGGTCACAATACATCCTGGAACATAGATGGTGTGACTGGTTTGAGGCTAAGGTGAAAACTCCCTTTCAGCATTGGGACAATATTCAAATGGAATAAAGATGTAAAAAAAAAATCATATTGTGTATATTTTATATAATCTCACATTCAATCACAGTTTACTTTTTTTTATTAAGATAACGCCAATGGTGATTGTAATGATTTTCATAAAACCCCACATGGATATTGCATCTCTTGATTTTTAACAAGCAAGTGTGAACCCTGAGCTACTTTTTTTAATTCAACTGTGTTGTGTTGTGTAATTTTCACCATCATTATGTTCCTTATGCTAAGGAAGCTAGAAGAAACTACCTGTATTTGAATGAGACATTACAGCTCTTTTCAGACATGAATATTGGAAAATGTCCAGAAAATTGGGTGTAGACATTCTTTTGAGTTTTTCTTTCACATATGAAGAACGTAGAAGGATATAATCTGCGTCACGACAACAGGAAACTGTCCGGAATGATCAGGCGAGGGGTGGCGTCTAGGTAGAGCAGGAGGCACGACATGATGTAGAAATTTGGCTACAGAAATCGCATGGTTTTTTGCAGCACATCCTGCTTCAGTGTATCTACGTGTATGGCACTTCTGAGATATTTGTTTTCTTCCAGTTGTGCATCTCTTGCGTATTAGAAACGTCATCAACTTGAGCTTTTTTCTGGACATTTTCCTGCTGTATTCTCACATGGAATCGCTTTACAGGGCAACTGGCTCGGACATTTGCGTTTTCACATACAGCCCATCTGAAAAATGTCTGGAAAACGTCCGGAGTTCAGTGCATGTCTAAAGGCAGGTTATTAAAAACCAGCTGCAGGTATGTACAGATGCATGACACCAGATTCTGAAGAGGGCTACTTAAATATTAGTTTTCCTGAATGCTTCAGCTCGACTGAGGTCCACAGTTGGTAAGATGTCACAGTTGTTCGCCGGCACCTCTGGCGTGGTGCTGCCGCTGATCAGACTCTCCTTAGGCTGGACCTGTTGACAGATATTCACCTGGAAATGCTTCCTGACAAAAACAGAGGGAGGAGAGGGGGAAGATAAAAGAGATGGATTTCACAAAGTAGTTCACAAGATAAAAACCATAACAATGAGGTGACGTGAAAGCTGATGCTCACTTCTTGGCCAGTTCTTTTGATATCTCTTCCAGAGTGCGACCTTTGGTTTCAGGCACGCAGAGGATGACAAACACCAGGAGAACAAAGCTCATGGCGGAGTAGAGGAACATCACATTGGGAACACCAATCCTTTCTGGAAAACACAGCAACAAAGAGAAAGTCTTTAAACGTCTGCTTATAATCTCATATGTTTGCTACAACCTGCTTGCTTTATGACAAACAAAGACAAAGAAAGAAGATAAATATCCTGACTGGTAAACCTCCACCTCCACTTTCTGGTGCTGCAAAACCTGAAAAACTGGTGACGACCTGTTTTAACTGTTAATCTCACAGTATTATGACTCAGGTACAGATGAACATTGTGACTCATCAACCAGGACCAGAAACATTTTCAGGAGGTTCACCACTGATAACAGCAGTATCCCGGCACTTATCTGAAATTATGGACACAGCAGAAACACTGGGCTGGGCGGCTATTGATTGAGTCAGAATCAGTAAAATATTAGCTCTAACTATCATTTTATGTTTAGTAAATCAAGGTATAATATAGTATGATAACCCTTGCTATCTGATAGAAATATTATTTTATTTTATCCTTTTTATTTTATTTATTTCTCTCAAATATATATGTTAACATTATTTAGAAATTTGCAGTATCTGCTTCAATACAAAAAGAGAAATAAAAACTTCAATTGAAAAATAATTACGACATTTCTAGCACAACTGAGCTTTTATGAAATCTTAGTCCAACTGATCAAAAGTTCCCTCAGGCAGTCGTGAGATTTCACATTCAAGGGGCCAAAAACTGTGTCCTTTACCTTTAACCATCAAAAAATCTACTCAGTTAATCAGTGAATCCAAGTGAATTGTAGCAGTTTTGAAATTTGAAGACATTCCCTTAAGCTAATTTAAAGATATAAAGATAACATTAACACATAGCATTAACAAGACAAAATGGATGCTACCTTTGACATTTAACCACCAAAATCTTATCAGTTCATCCTTCAGCCAAAGTGAATGTTTGTACCAAATTTGAAGAAATTCCGAAAAGGCATTCTTCTGATATCGCGTTCAGAGGAATGGGACAGACGGACGGACAACCCGAAAACATAACGCCTCCGGCACTAAGGCATTAAAAACGAGCAAATGCTGACGAAAACATAGTGTCCTTGGCTGGAGTTTATAAAAACACACGTACCAGTGATGGTGAGGAAGGTCATGGAGATGAGCAGGTTGGTGGCCCAGTTCACAGCAGACACCACGGACACAGCCCTGCCTCTGATTCCCATTGGAAAGATCTCGCTGATGACCACATACACCACTGGAAAGGAAAGGAAACAAAGACAGTGACACACCAGGAGATGAGATGTGTAGAGTACAAATAACATGACCTGTGTGGATTTTGCTTTGTGTGTGGATTTATAGAGAGGGTTTGAAGATGTACACATTGGTTTATCTGGGGAACAGTTTATTTTAGCAGAATTAAGCTAAAACTACAAACAAATGAAATTTTTGTGGAGGGGGTAGGGCACTTGGGCATGACCCAAGGAACAGCACACTTTCTTTAACATTGCATAATAGGGGAATCATTATTCTTATTAGTAGTAGTAGTAGTAATATACTTTATTGGGGATAGATCAAAATACTCAGGTGTGTGTTAAACCTCGGTTACTTTCTTCCTTTGCCACTTCCTTCTTGGTAACAACTGGTAACACAAGTTTGCCAACTTACTATGGACAAGGCAATTTATTATTTATTTATAAAGCACCTTTCATAGCACCTACAGTGTGAGAGCCAATCATGCCAACCTTCTTTCAAACACAAAAGGTCAGAGGGCGTCTAATTATGATGGTTCGTTTGTTACCAATTGCTAGTTGAATATCTGTGTGTGCAGTGATAGCCGTAAGTAAACTGAATGGGTGCTTACTTGGCCCGAGGCTAATGGAGAAAGCTGCCACATAAACCAGCAAACTGATCAGTGATGCCCACTTCAGGGAGGAAGACACTTCTACTTGAGTTCTCCCTCCTCCCAGCTCCCCAATCCCATCATCCTCTCTGTTAGTCCTCTGCGCCTCCTCGTTGCTCCACTGGCTGGGGAGGCTAGTGGAGAAAAACTCAATGTCGTCTAAGTCTGTTGAGGTTCTGTTCAATTCCCACGTGGTGTGTGTGTAGTTTGGCGTTGTGTGACTTTTACAAAGACTGGTGAGGTGAGTGTGGCTTTGCAGTGTCAGTGTGCCGAGCGCGGCCAGCGAAATTCCCATCGCAATGGCACCCACGCACAAAAAGCTCTTGGGTCCCAAGCGGTCGACCAGCAACACAGCGGGGATTGTGCCGACTACTTTGACCACTCCGAACCCCGTGGAGGCCAAGGTGGCTGCAGCGTCACTGTTGAAGCCCACGCTGCGGAGGAGTGGTGAAGCGTAGGAGAGGATGTTGGGCTGACCCGTGGCCTGCTGGAGGAAAACTAAAGCTACACCCGTTAGCAGCCGGGAGCGTAGGTTGGCTTTGGCACTGAACAACTCCCAGAAACAGTGTTCTGATTCCGCTTTTAGTCCAGCTTGGATGTCCGTGAGCTCCGCCTCTACTTGTTCCTTAAGCCCGCCCCTCATTCTGACCAGCACTGCCTTGGCCTGCTCCACTTTACCCTGAGTGACCAGGAAGCGTGGACTGCAAGGGAGGAAGAGGAGCGCACCTATTTGCAGCAGCGCAGTGGGGATCACTAGTCCGAACGTGTACACCCAGCCACGAGGAAGAGTGGCGAAGGCATAACTGCAGCTGAATCCCAGCATGACGCCCACAACCAGCATCAGCTCATACAGCGTCACCAGCAGACCCCTCCTCTCACTCGGAGAGATCTCTGCAATGTACAGACATGCTGCCGTCCCCGACAGCGCCGTCCCCATGCCAACGATCACCCGGCCCAGTGTGATAGCGACGAGCGAAGTGAAGGCGATGACCACGATTGTCCCTGCGACCACCAGGGCGGCGCTCAGCAGCAGGGAGCAGCGGCGGCCGTAGCGATCGAGCACCGGACCGCCGGCGAGGCAGATGAGGAGAGCACCGAGCAGGTGGGAGCTGACCAGCAGTTCCTGTTCCCGGCAGGAGAGGGAGAGGAGACCGCGCAGCTGCAGCAGGACGCCTGAGGTCAGGCCCATTTCATAACCTAGCATCAGGCCACTCAAGGAGGCCGCTACAGCTGCTACCACCACCAGCCAGCTGCAGCCTGGAGACAGGGACAGAGACACAGAGGACACAATTACTGATTTCAAGCTGTGTAACCCCAACCAAGGAACAGTCTGGTCCCATTGTCTGTCCTCTGGGACTTTGAGAACAAGTTGGAAGGTTCAACACAACTATGTCAACTTTTGTTCAAAAGACATATTGTCTGAGTACATTCGTACATTACTACCGATGTGTAAACTGTAATTATAGAATGTGTGCAACATAATGTGCTTATTGAAGCTGAAAATTGAAATCACTAGAGCCGACCGATTAATCAGTTAGCTGATATCAGCTGATATGAGCCTGTCACAGACAGTATCAGAATTTTATACTCATTAAATCGGCACATAGCTGATGTATTTCTACTAGACGCAACATTTAAATTTTTTGCTGTGTCGTTTGCGTGCCTAAAACTTAACCTCAGGTTATGTAATTAAAGGTAAACTTTTAAATCGTGGTCACAATGACCTCACAAAGCACATTTTTTGCCTTGTGATGGTGATATCTCTGGAACACCTTCAAGGAATCATTTCACATTGGGCACAAACATTCACTTGGACGTAAAGATTAACACTTATTTTTTTGTATTTTTATAGTGTGATGGATTTAACAGCATTCCCTTCTTAGTGAGACATTCTAAGCATTTTAACGTTTTGGAGCCTTTGTAAACTGTGTGAAATTGAGGGATGAATCTCATTAATAAAAACATCAGGAGCAGTATTGAAACTTGGTATTAAACAGGTCCTGGTGCTAAATAATTTTATTTTCTTACCATAGAATTGATTATAAGCTCTGATAATGTTGTTCTTCTCTTGAT